ATTGCTGGTGGAGTCTGAAGGCGCACAACTATTTTGGAAAACTGGCAGAATTTACCGAAGCTGAACAAACGCCTGTCCCGTGACCCAACGCTTGCATTTCCTGGACGACACTCAAGAGAAGTGAGTGCACATGTCTACCAAAACCACGAGCAAGAATGTTCATGGCAACTTTGTTCGTATTTACCAAAAAAATGAAAACATACCATCAATAGTGGAATGGATAAATTGCGGTATGTTTATACAAAGTAATGCTACACAGAAACAAATGAACTACTGCTACACAGTGGTAGCACGTGAATGAATCTCAAAGACATGATGTAGAGCGAGAGAGCCTCAGGTGAAGAAGACATACTCTCTGTTTCTGTTCTCAGGAAGCTCAGAACAGGAAAAACGAATGGGAATACAGATCAGAGCAGCGGCCACCTTTGGAGAGTGCTGATCGGAAGGAGGTGTAAGGGAAACTTCCGTGTTGCTGGATATGTTCTTTATGTTGACCTCTGTGTCGTTTGCACAGAAATATCTAAAAATTCCTCCAGCTGTACACTTAAAATTTGTGAGCTTTACTAAATGTAAGCCATCAGTGAAGAGTAAAACAGCAGCAACAACAGCAACAAATAAATGGAGGCTCAAATCCATGATTTAAAGGGGGCGAGAATGGGAAGGAGAAACAAAGGTACGTGGAACATAATTTCAAGAAATTAGGCAGTGGAAACTTCACTCACCAAGAATTTCTAACCATGAATATGCAGCTGCTCATGCTGTGTTCAAGGATTCTTAATTGGTTCTGACTTCACCCTGTCCTAATCCTGGCTGTCTATATTTATTTCAAGAGATATAATGGAATTCTTTTTAAAAATTGGAATTCCTATTTATTGTTGTAAATGTTCGAGAAACCAAACTATGATATGAATGTTTCATCTTCTAAGTTAAGAACTTAGAGCTTCGGCCCAAACCGTTTTTTCTGAGCTGAAGAATCCCAGGATCCAGCTGCCTACCAGGCGCGTCCTCCTGGGATCTCACTGCAGAGGACTTGAAACTGAACTCCCCAGCTCCTACCCACCCTCCCCTCCTCTGAGTTTATCCACCATCCTGCATTCCCCCTAACTGGCTGCCAGAAACCCCAAAATCAAGCTAGCTCTTTCCTTCGACCTTCTTTCTCCCTGTCCCAGGAATCTGAAAATTCTGATTCTGAACCCCTGCTGTCTCTTGTCTGCGCCCTCTCTCTGTACCCCTGCCATCTCCTAGCTCGGCCTCTCATTCTTTCTCCTGCAGGCTGGAACAGCAGCTTCTCAAAGAATGATTTGCAGTCCACACTCCTCCTTAGAGATCAGGAATGGATCAAAAATGGAAGGGTTTTTTTTCATTTTATGGACAAATGATACACAATTCCGTGTATTTTCTTTTGCATATACAAAAAAGGATTAATTATTAATAACCACCTAAATGAATTACTAAGGACTACTGAAATTTTGTATTAATAAAAACTAAAATTAACGCATTAGTAGGATTTACTGGTTATTCTAAACTATATCCTACAAAGACGTCCAGCTGAGGGGCCTGCCCCGTGGCCGAGTGGTTAAGTTCACGCACTCTACTTCAGCGGCACAGAGTTTCACCGGTTCGGATCCTGGGCATCAACATGGCACCGCTCATCAGGCCATGCCGAGGCAGCGTCCCACATGCCACAACTAGAAGGACCCACAACTAAAATATACAACAATGTACTGGTGGGATTTGGGAGAAAAAGCAAAAAAAAAAAAGGAAGATTGGCAACAGTTGTTAGCTCAAGTGCCAGTCTTTTTTAAAAAAAGGAAGTCCAGCTGAATGCAATGTTACTGTATGTAAATAGTTGGAATTACCCTAATTTTCAGAAAGGTTCCTTGTTATTGGTGTCATGGTTTTCAGTTCCTGCTTGTTTGCTGTTTGATTCTGATTTCCCATAAACATGTTTATACCACAGTGCGTTGGGTTTATGGTTATACTTCAAGATGCGTATGCATTTTGATTCAAACATTAATCATTTACAATCCCAATGCGAAGTAGATGTATATACAATCCCACAAACTCTGGTTTAAAAAGAAATGACATTTCATCGTGACGACTCAGTCCTTTTCCCTCAGGGTCGTGGTAACAGCCAGTGAGGTGAGTTATGGGGTCATTTCTTCCCCCTGCAAAGTGGACCCAACAGAGTCTGAGGATGGCTATCCCTATTGTCGGGCTGCCTTTACTTCCCGCCTTCCTCCTCCACGCCGCCATCCCTTTAGTCTGTACTGCCAAGAAGTGATCTTTTTACACAAAAATACAGTTGTGTCATTTCTCTTGCTCAGAATATATCAGAGTTTGTACGTTGCCTTCAGCAGTGATTACTAATGTATTTTAGGTACTTTTCTCTGTAAGGATAAATGAATAATAAACAAAGCCCGGCTTTCTTCTGAGAAAAGCATACATATACACATACACACGATTTAATTTTACATGATTTCAGAGGTTTTGCAACATCCCTGAAGCCCATCCCTATGTCTTCCAGGGTTCCTCCTCCAGCCTATACACTTTACAGATCGAATGTCCTCTGAATAGCATAAAGGCTCTTTGCCTACCCAGCCTAACTCTTCACTTCCACTCCCCACTTCAAAAGGAATTTCAAGAGCACACTATGTTCGCTTCTAGCTCCTTTTTTTTTTAGAAAAAGAACAGTCTGAAATTTATATAAAAATTGCAAAGAAGTACAGATAGTTTCTGTATACCCCATGCTTTCCCCCATTATTAACATCTTCCATCAGTATGCTACATTTTTTAGAATTAATGAACCAATATTACATGTTATTATTAACTAAAGTTCATACTTTATTCAGATTTCCTTAGTTTTTACCAAATGTCCTTTTTCTGTTCCAAGATCTTATCCAGGGTATTATACTACACTTAGTTTTTATGCCTCTTTTGGCTCCTCTTGGATGTAAGTTTCTCAGACTTTCCTTGATTCTGATGACCTTGACCATTTTGAGGAGTACTGATAAGGTATTTTATAGAATGACCCTTAACTGGGATTTGTCTGATGTTTTTCTCATGAGTAGACTAGGGTTGAGTGATGGGGAGGAAGCCCACAGAGGTAATGTCTCATTTTCACCATGTCATATGTAGGATACACACTATCAACATGACTTATCACTGTTGAGATTAATCTGGACCCACTGGCTGAAGTAACATTTGTCGGGTTTCTCCACTGTAAAATTACTCTTTTTTCCCTCTTTCCATACTGTATTCTTTGGAAGGAAGTTGCTACGCACAGCCCGCACTTGAGGAGTGGGGAGTTACACTCCACCTCCTTGAGGGCAGAGTATCCACATAAATTATTTGGAGTCCTTTTGCTGGGAGATTTGTCTTTTTGCTCTCTCTTTTATTTTTAAATATGTTTTACGTCTTTCAGAAATAACAAAACAATCCCAAAATTTCAATGGCTTAGCACATGATTTATTTCTTGTCCGTGCCACTGTGTCATCACGGTTCAGCAAGTGGGTCTGCCCCATGTCATCACTCAGGCACCCAGCCAACAGAGCTTCCACCCTCAGGTAGCTCCACCTTCCGACGCACGCAGCCTTGCCAGTGGCCGAGGCAGGCAGGCCGCACTGGAGTGTTTTGCACCGGCAATTAAATGCTTCAGCTTAGAAGTGACACACGTCATTTCTCCCTATGGCTCACTGGCCAGAAGCAGTTACGTGGCTCTGCCTAACGACAGGCGCGCGGGCAAGTCTGGAAGGAGAGAATTGCCCCGGGCGAGCACTAGAAGTTTCTACCGCAAGTCTCTACCCCACTGCCCACCAAACAAAGTCCTGTTCTTCCTCCTGTTCTTCATCAGCCTTCAGTGTCGTTTCCCCCACAGACTTCAGGTCCCCTCATGCTCCACCAGCACTCAGTACAGACCAACAGGAGAGCAGCTCAGACGGGACTGTAGCTGTTGGCTGGGGTGCCCTGTAGAGGAAGATGGTCGTGCTTTGACCCCTTGGTCTCCTCGGCATGAATACAGTGACTCTACAGAGGAGATGTTCAATCAACTTCTATTATTTATTGAATTAATGAATGGAAAAATTACTAAATTTTATAGCCAGATGTTACACAGGACCTTCTTCCATAGTAAAATCAAATTAGTCAAATATAATGTATTGGCAAATGAAGTAGAAATATTTTTCCCTTACTAACTTTAAATGAAGTGTTGACTTATAGCTTCCAAAATGTTATATCTACATTGGCGTGAGGAATCCTGTCTCAAACATATGGTCTTCTTTCTACTTTACTCCAGAGGTCTGAGTTAACTCTGTATAGAAAACTATTCTCTCTCCTTTAAATTCTAGGCTGTCTTTAAAATTGTTTTCTCATGTTCGAGGAGCACATCCTCCCATAGTTTGTAGTTGGTTTTTATTTGCACGTTTGTATTATTTCCTTGCAACGTTTGTAATGTCAGAATTTTATTTTACCATGTGTGGTCAAGAGAGGAGAGTAACACCTTGATTATAGGTGGAGTGCATTTTTATACAGTGAATTTACCAATTTCGTTGAAAGTCTGCCTTGTACACGCAAGTGTGCTTCTCGCTGAGAGGGCAGAGGAGGGGCCTCAAAGGGCCTGTGATGATGAATGTGCAGACGACATGACCATAAACAAGAGCAACGGGCAATAAAGTCACAGGTGGCGTGTAACTGACATACATGACTGTTGTCAACGAAAATAATCCATAACCAATCTATAAATGAAAATTCGTGTGAGTTTATTCTGAGTTTAAATGTGAGGACCATGTCCCAGGGCCCTTCTTCCCGAAGGAAGAAAGGGCACTAAAGAAGTGGGGTGCACAGAGTGGTTCTATACCCCCAAACAGGATGTTTCACATAGGATTGAAATGTCCCTTTTACGATAGTTGTGAGTCTGCTCTGTTGGCACAGCGATGGATGGACACAGCAGGTAGGTCTGCTGTCTCAGTGGACACAGCAGGGTGGCAGGTCTGTTGTCTCAAGCTGGGTGGTCACAGGTGAGCTGGGTGGTCAAAGGTGAGCACAGCAATCAGTTCCTAGCCTAGGGAGAGATGCTTATCCTTAAGGAAATGCCAATGTGGGGGGAAGTTGCACCTTTATCTTAAGGGCCTTTGTTCTTGCCATAGGAAATGTTTAAAGTGGATATACAATGCATGCTCGATGGCAATGTCAGGCCCTTTTGGGAAAACAAAGTCAGGCCGAATTAAGTTTACACCAAATGGCTTCCTCATAGACTCCAATATATCCTATTGCTTGCCATTTCTATTTGTCATTTCCCCTTTTGATCTATAATCTTTCAATAGAAAGCATTGATGATCAAAATATTGTCCCTTGGCACCAGGGTTGTTGCTGCCTGCCCTGGGTCCATCATGTCCCTTGGTGCTAGGCTTTTATCTCATTTATTTGTCCAGTTGTCCATGTTGAGGGGAAATAGCGGACAAGCACAGAGGTATATATATCAACAAAGGAAGCATCTTATAGGTTACGTAATTTTCAGTTGATTTTAGATTGTTGCAGAAACATTGCATATGTGCTTTTTTATGTCTCTTCATGTTTACATTGCATATGATCATAGAACAAGTACAGTGATAATGATAATAGTTCAACATATTTGAAAACATTAATTTAAAATGAGTTCTTAGGCATAGTCCTTATCAGAAAAGGAAATTTGTCCAGGATTATAAGGTAGATCAACCATCTGGAGTCACCAAGCAACCATTACTCTAGTTTGTATGCCAGTCTTATAACACTGAGTAAAGAAAACAACAGTTAGTTTGAACATTATGACTAGTACAAGAATTCAAAGAAGTAATAGAAATAGGAATTGCAATCCGGATTGAAAAAGGGAACTGATACTGAAAGGGAGCCAACCAAACAAATCAAACTGGGTGTAGGATCAAAGAAGGCATTCACCTGTCCTTTCATGTAAGCAGAGATGACACATTGGAAGATCCATCACGTGTAAAAGCACAGCATCCAGTCTGAATGATTGCATATGTACCACCTTGGGATGCAGTAAGAATATCTAAAGGCGTTCTGTTTTGAAGGACAGCCCTTCTCATTAAAGACATTTCAGTATTTAAATAAGGTTATTCCTGCTTGACTATCATTAAGGGCTTCTTGACTAAATTGAGTCAGAGTTTTCATATGTAATAATGACATCTTTTAGCCCCACAGAAAGAGCAAATGTAGGCACTTGGTGGCCGTACCAGTGGAACGCTGAACAAGCCCATCCGGCCTTAAAGAGAGGGAGATTGGCAACAGATTTTAACTCAGCCTGGCTCCTTCCCCGCTTTTAAAGGAAACTCAGGGTGCAGTGTCTTAGCCATGCAGCAGTAGCCAAGGCCAAAGATTTGTTCCACATAACCACTGAGTTCCATTAGGAGTCACTCGATAAATGCCTGGCCTTCAAGACCAGTCTGTTCCAAATTAATCCCTTTCTTTAAGTATGATAGTATTCCAAACAAATTATAAAATAGGTATACAGTTTAAGCACAACAAAGGCTTAAATGAGGAGATATAAGGTCGGGAAAACAGGCCTGGTCCAGAGTCTTGGAACAGCTGTCAACAACAGATGCTGTCTTCTTCTCCTCCTGATATTGTCCTTTCCAACTGGGCTGTGTAGAGTCTTTTAGTTGATGTCTCTTTCGATAAATAAATTCTGCAGGTTATAGTCCCTGATCCATAAGTCCTGGGAGCTCTCTGTGAAAGAATCAGCTACCAATCTTTCATTTTTTTAAGCACCTCAATAAGACCATGACAATGTAATATATCCCTTAAGCAAAGTTGGTTCATATATTTCTTCACCTAATTGCATAGGCTGTTTTATTATTATTTCCAAAGGAGACAGCCGATGTTTACAAAAAGTATAGATGTAAGATTAAGGAGCACGAGCACAAGAGCTTTTGGCCTTGAGAGAGTAAATGCTTCTGAAAGCTTTGCCAATTAAGTTTTGGTTGTGCCGTTAGTTCTTTCCACCAATCCTGAGGATCGAGGATGGTAAGCGCAGTGGAAATGCTGCATAATTGGCCAAACATTACAAATAGATTTGAGTTCCCCAGTCACTGTGTAACTCAGGAGTAATTCCTCAAACAGCAATTATCCTTTTCAATAATAATTTACCTAAAGCCATCACTCTTCTGCAAGGAAAAGCCTCAAAACAATGTGAGAACATACAGATCATTACAAGACATATCTATCCTTGAGATGGTGGCATTTGGACAAAGTCCCATTGTCATACCTCAAAGGGTCCCTTAGGAAGGGAAAGTGGCCTTGTGACTCATGAAGTGGCTTCTCTGGATTATACTTTGGGGTTATAGCACAACAAGTAGAGGCCATATGAGCCACTGGGAGAAAGTTTCCAAAAGTATTGTTTTTCCCTTTTGTTGCAACCTTTATGTATATATATTTTTTCTTCTGTGGCGATTTCTTAAGCCTATAGAAGGAAATCTTTCTACTGGATTAGCAGAGTTAACAGAAAGTAGCAGGCATGTTTAAGGCTGGACAGCATATCCAGCTTCATAACACCCTTGCTTATCATTTAAGTAAGACTCATTTGTAAACCAAATTAAACAATAGAATGCAGTCGTGGTCTTCTCCCCTTGTGATGTTGGAAGCAAGGTAGCAGGGTTAAAATAGTGAATAATATTTACCTACACAATAGAACCTAAGGTTTATCATCATTTACTTGACAATGCTTCCCATGCAATTTAGCACCAAACAAGCCTAATCAGTATCCCTCCTTGACAGGAAGAGAGAACAAATTTCTTTGATAAATCCCAGGGGCCCTCTGAAAATCCTCAGAGAAATTCTCTTCCTTCATCCAGGTCAAAAGAAAGTCTGTACTCAGGACTTGAATATATATATATATATATATATATATATATATATATTCTTTTTTTTTTTAAGGGAGAAGCTTGTCAAAAATATCAAAAAGTTTTCAGACACTTGCCTACACAAGATCAAGAGGTTGTAAAACACGGGTCACTGAAACAATGCTCATAATAATATTTAACCAAAGTGACAACAGGAACAGCCAGAGAAAACCTCAATAGAGAGAGCTTTGTCTTTTTGCACACAGGAAATTTCTTAACCAAACATGGATCTTCTGTCCTTTAGGTAAACTTACTCAGAAGGAAGAAACCTTTTATAACCTCTTTATCAAGAGCAGACTAAGAGTTTGGAAAAATTATCCTTTTTAGAGAGACAGCCAAATTTTAATCTTTGTATCAGTTTTTCATATTAAAACCCATTTACTTAATTAGATTCATTTCAATTTTAACCAACTTGACCATATACAAAACTCTTTTCAGAGTTTCTTTCACAAACTTTCTATAACTTTCTTTTGCATTCAAAATTTGTCCCATGTCTTTCTTTTTTTCCTCCTAGTACTTTAGGACAAATTTATCTTTCTTAACCAACCAAGCAAAATATTTCCATTCTTTTTATGCCTTCTTTACTGAAAATTTACACCTTACTTTCCTTGAATATAAATACATTTTCCTTATTAATTCCTAGTAGCTTTAATCACATGTATTAGAACTCTGTAACCTTTAAGAGACCCTATTAAACACTAAAATGGTTGGCAATTACAAATTGTCTTTTATATCAGCATTCTAAACACTTTTCATAATTTCTAGAAATGCGCCACACTTTACAGTAAAAGACCCAAACACTTTTAGCCTCTCTGCAATAAGAAGCCAAAAGTAGATAAACTTACATTTAGTAATTAATGTCTAATATCTTATTTGGAAATGACCTGGATACTCAATGAATTTTATCATTCATTTACATTAACCTAGCAAAACTTCGAAGTTTCAAGTTACCAAAAAGATTTTGGAAGTTATTTTAAATACACATGCCGTAAACTATAATTATTGCTGAAAGTTTATCTGTAAACTCTTATTTCATTTATATCTAAACCATTTGTTCCCAATAGTGATGTTTAGATTACCCGCAAAACTTCATGAGACATTAGGCAAAACTGGTTACCATTTAAAGCTATTATTTTGCTGAGAAATTTCTAACAGACAATGTGAGCTTATTTGACTAGTAAACCCAGGCTGCATGTCTGCATCAGATTCAAATACTGACAACTCTTGAGGACATGCCTTTTCAATCAAACCAACTTAAACTTTCATTAACCAAAGATTAATCTATATCATGTTAACTTGAAAGACATTTGGGTTAGTTCTATTTAGAAAAGCTTTTTGTAAGTGCTTACTTTAAGTCAATGGAATAGAGCTCTTTAGAAATTGTACCATCCGGAGTTAAATACCACACATTTGTAACATATATAGACACACACGGACAGACACAGCAAAGATTCCCCTTAGATTTCCGAGAGTTGTTCTCACAGCAGACCGCAGTGGAAAAACTTGTTTTCCCAGGTTTTTTCCTCTTTCTCTCTTTCTTTCTTTCTTTCGGCCTTAGCAATCTGGCTTGGGATCCCCCTTTGTTATGCAATTGCAGTCACAGCATGAAGTCAACCGGAGTCCAGAGGAGAGGCTGCCCATTAGGGAACTGATTGGGCTGCTTTAGAAGCTCGATTTCCCACTTCTCTTTTAATTTTGTTTTGTTATATATATATATATATAAAGTCCGAACAACTTCTAAGGACGGTGTAATGGGTCAGAAAGTGTGCTGCTTGTGAGTATTACTCCCTATATAAAGGTCATAAACACTCTCTTATGTGCCTCGGTTTCTCCCACTGGCAGTCTAACACCGCCATGGGGGCTCGGAGCACTGGGTGACCAGCCCTTACGTGCGCGTCTCCAGACGAGCCTGTAATTATTTACCATGAATGAGAGTGGAGTTCCCTATGGGACCACCTCGTGTCGCAAGGATTGATCCTCTGACACTCCTGCTGAGGTCCTTAGTCACCTAAGGACGCCTTTTGGTAAAGGCCAGGAGGAGCAAGTGTCCCTTTTCTTCGGAGCTAAACACGTTCATTCTCTCATTTCTCTATCAAGCAGTTTGTTCAGACTTTATCAACACAATTCTTTCCCATTTAAAACCAAATTAAAAAGGTCAGCCTTCCCCATTCACTCCCAAGTTCCTCTAGGCTCCTCTGGCCTAGCAAATTCCTCCTAGGTTCCTCTTACCTAGGGTATGTACCGGTACCCCTTAAGACACCTAGTCTTAAGACCTTAAGCAGCTCGCGTAAACTCTTGGACCGTCAACTTAAAATAAGGAGGTCCGGGTTTCAGGAGAACTCACCAGGGTCACTTGAAGAATGCAGTGATCCGGGGGGCTCAATGGGCCCCTGTTGGTACTGAATGCCGGCTCAGTGTAGATTCCAGGTGGTCTCCAGTGGGTTTCTCTGAAATCCTGCTGTGACTACTCCAAGAAATGTCGACAAAAATCATCCATAATCAATCTGTAAATGAAAATTCGTGTGAGTTTATTCTGAGCTAAAATGTGTGGACCACGTCCCAGGGTCCTTCTTCCCGAAGGAAGAAAGGGCACCGAAGAAGTGGGGTGCAGAGAGTGGTTATCTACCCCCAGACAGGATGTTTCACATAGGATTGAAATGTCCCCTTTACAATAGTCGCGAGACTGCTCTGTCGGCACAGCGATTGATGGAAACAGCAGGTAGGTCTGCTGTCTCGGTGGACACAGCAGGGTGGCAGGTCTGTTGTCTCGAGCTGGGTGGTCAGCGGTGAGCTGGATGGTCAAAGGTGAGCGCAGCCATCAGTTCCTAGCCTAGGGAGAGATGCTTATCCTTAAGGAAATGCCAATGTGGGGGGAAGTTGCACCTTTATCTTAAGGCCATTTGTTCTTGCCATAGGAAATGTTTAAAGTGGATATACAATGCATGCTCGATGGCAATGTCAGGCCCTTTTGGAAAAACAAAGTCAGGCCAAATTAGGTTTACACCAAATGGCTTCCTCATAGACTCCATTATGTCCTATTGCTTGCCATTTCTATTTGTCACTGTAAACCACAGCAACAGGCAATAAAGTCACAGGTGACGTGTGATTGACATACGTGTGCGGTACAGACTGAGTCCTCTGAGTTCAAAACTGGCATGCTCTGGGTGCAGAGTGGGCTGGAGGGCAGAGAGACTGGAGTTAAGCAGACTGCTTAGAAAGCCAAGTCAGTAGTCCCGTCACGGAATTCAGGTCTAGACCAAGTTCCACACACCACGGTACTCGGAGAATGTAAGTTGCAGTGTGATGGAATTTCTTACATGGCGAGGATATTTTAAGTGCAGTTCCTCTGTATTTAGGTTTATTTTATTCCTATTATTTTTCACAAAAATAGGTACTTGTGTGTGCGTGTGTGTGTACAGATTTTCAGTTTTAGAAGATAGTGTACTTATGAGAAGACTTTAAAATATCTTAAGTTCCTAGATGTTAAAACATCCATTCATTTCTTTTAGCAGGCTAGAGTTTACCATTCTATATTTTCATAACATTTCTAATTTACTCAGGTACTTTTTAATTGAAAATCACTGTGAATCAGCAGTCCAGGAAACTTTTCCAAAGCGAGTGTGCGAGACACTGTTGCCAGCCCTCATCCTCTTTGCGTCAGGTCGTCAAGGGCCTGTGTGTCCACGGCGCTCTGTTGGTGGGCTCAGTTCCTACCTGACTGGCTCCAGAGTAGGCTGTTCCCGCGCCAGCGTCAGCCCCTCCCAGGTACGGTGCTGACCTGAGCTGGGGGTGAGGGGAGAAGAGAGTGTGGCTGTACCCAAAACCGCTTAGAGTGAGGCCCCAAGGACAGCAAGCAGCGTGTCTTCAACTCACTGTGCACCTATAAATCACTGTCAGTCAGGGTGAAGCATGTTATCTGATCGCTTGCTAAGAATGGCAATAAAATATTTGCTTCTTAAGAGCGGGGAGAGAGACAACCCAAGGGTGTGCGCTCTTCTCGTATTGGCCACAGGGTCTTCTCTTCTCCCCCAACACTTTGTGATGTCACCAGAGCTAACTTACAGCTTGAAATCCTGGGGTTCGAGTTCAGTGAAAGGAAATTTAGTGAATATGCAGTTGCACTGGCACAAATGAAAAGATCGTACAGAACCTGAAACTCAAAGATCATACTTAATAAAGAAATGAAATCAGAATACTCTTCTGGAAAGGGGAAATCAAAATGGGAACCTTTCCATCTTCCTTCGCAAACCAGACTACGTTTCATCACACTTGAACAATCGGTTAGCCATTTCACTATAGTTTCTCAATGTAGAACGCTCACTTATTGTGTAACTTGATAAAAAAGAGTTTTGTAACTTGACCAAAGTGAAGAAGAAAATGTTTGTTTCTAAGGTGAAAAGAGGAAGTGAGATCCAGCCAAAGTCCTAATTACATTGGCCCTGGAAGCTTAAAGATAACAAATAATAGAGTATTCAGGAAGTCACGAGAAATCAAAAGCCGTCCAGAATTATTTTATCAGTTGCTCACACACCAAGCATATGGATTTTGAAAACAGCCTCTAATTGTTCAATGGCATCTAAGAGCTGTTAGACCAACCTCTTAGAGAAAACTCATACCTTTAAAATGAATATATAAAGTGGGTTTGCACAACTAAATCAGAAACTAAAATCAGACAAGAAGTAGACAAAGAAGCTGTGCTTTGTCAAGGAGTGAGAATTGGGTCTCAAAAGAATTTCTTCCCTTGCCGCTTCAGTTTTTACCAGGTGGTGTGGGAGACTGAGAAGACCACGGCCCCGCGTGAATCCGGACCCTGCTCTGCCACTCACCAGCTGCATTGCTTCAGGCAGGTGACTTTGCTCCTCGGTAAAATGGAAATAACATCTACCTCTAAGACCCTGGTAGGAATTCTAGATAATGTTTATTAAGTGACTAACCTTTGTAAGTGTTCACACACGCAAGCTGGTATGACTTATCTTTCCTTTTTCCTTTATCTCCAGATCACCTGGGTTGTCACCAGTCTTGATTATTCAAACCTCCTAGGCATCTCTGGAGCCCTCTGGGTCCTCTTCCTGCCCCACCACCATCGCCTCTGGATTACTTGTGTCTCTGGCAGGAGGCCCTGAGGCCGGTCTAGAGTGATCTGCAAAAAGATTTCCATCCTGTTACTCTCCAGTTTAATTCTCATGAATAGTTTCCCGTTGTCTTTGGGGTTGTCTTAAATCTCATCCTCTTTGGGATCAAGTGCCCAGCTCTGGCCCTGCTCACCCCTCCAACCCCATTTCTCTTTGCCACATTTCACCAGACACCCTGGCACTTCATTCAGTGTCTGCAGAGCACATGGTGGATGGCAGGGGTGAAGGCAGAGAAGAGAGAGAACACATCCAGGGACGCGAACTCCCCCTGTCCCGGCAGCAGAGTGCAGGGCGGGTCTTGCTGGGCTAGTGCTGTGTACTGGGCTTAGTGATCAAGTGCTGGATTTCAAGCACAGCAACGTGTGGCTCTGTGCTAGAGCCTCTGGTGGCACAGTATTGGCACCATGGTAGAAGTCATTCCCCTGTGTGTCTTAAATAGTGTTATTTCCTCCCAGTAGGAACCAGTTTCCTGACTCAAAACACAACAGCAGCAAGCCCATAGAGTATATTAAGGGTGAAAGTTAAATGATTTCTGGAGTTTGGATGGTGTCAGGAGACCCACGAAGAAATTATCTTGCTTGTGTCGGGGAAGTGGGAGAATTCCCCCCACCGCTTTTCCTTAAGGTTCTTATGGCTGGTCAAATAATCAAAGAGGCAGGTTAGCAAGAGAAAATCAAACAAAATTTAATAGCATGTATACATGGGAGAAACCCAGAGGAAACTGAGTACCTCAGCCATCTGGCTGAGTCCACGTGTTTAAGTACCCTCAGCTACAGACCAGAAGGACACAGTGATCTGGGACTTCAAAGGGGAGGAAGACAATCTACATAGAGATGGAATGCAAATGTTTGTTAAACAGGTTTTGCTAGGCCCCAAAAATGGGTTTGTTGGGGGTTTGTTGGTGTCCTTTTATCACACCTATTTTCCATCATACTATAGCTATCACCCGATAGGAGCTCCTTCCTGGCACAGACCTTCTATGTTCAAGTCCTTTAGGCAGTTTGAGGGTGGAAGGTCGGATGCTCTTGCTGAGTCTTTTGAGGCTTCATTGTCCAAATTATGGTTCAAATTATGGTGATATGGAGAGCTAGAAGCACAGAAAGGGATCACTAGTCCTTAGGGAAAATGTGCTGGTCTGCATTTGGCCAACCCAAATCATACCATTTGCCAGAGACCGGGCACCTCAGGGCCAACAAAATGCCGCCTGTGGGTTGGGGTCAAGGCCTTCTCCCGAGGCAGGAGACGCTCCCACAAGAAGCCGCTCTGACCTGCGGCCAGGCCACCGCACTCAGGGGGAGCAGCTGCTAGGGGCACTAGCTGGTTTCACAAGGTCATTACACAACGAGGTGAGGGCAGCTCCACTAGCAGAGGGGGAAATTACTTCACCCTAACCTTTCAGCATCTAGGCTCCCCCGGAGAGCCCCACAGAGCGGCCCCTCCACTGCCCTCCCACCCCTAACCCTGCACGTTCTCCCGGGAGCCACACTGCCCCAGCAGAGACGCAACCATGTCCTCTGCGCCCCTGAGCCATGCTCCACAGGGACAGCGTCCACTCTGCTGACCATGGTCTCCCAGGGTCCTTCACGGCGTCCAGGAAATGGCGCTGCTTCACTGGCAGGTGGTCATTTATGCCTTTGAAAGACCCGTGCCAAAGGCTCCCTCCATTCTTACAGTTTTGGTTTACAAAAGTGTCACTTACCTCCTGAGGCTCTTTTTTATACAGTTTTTCACGTCCTTCATATACTAACACAAATAGATTTTAATTGTTTAATACTAATAGAGAAAAAAGCATTGTGGGACCAATAACGAAAAAACAGTGGTGGCATAAATTACAGTAAAACAAGACTGTAAAGACAGAGGGTCTGTCCCAGTGGTCAGAGTCACTGAAAACTGATAATGCCGAGGCTTTACCTCTGGGCTAACGGTGACCCAAGTCACGGAAACACAGAGCCATTTCCAGGAAAACTGTTTAATCTCTGGCGCTCCAGGGAACCATCTCGCTTCCCACTGTCCAATCACATTCTAATGAGAGCAGAGAAGTCTAGATCAAACAGTATGGGGGTATAAATTTCTATACCATCCATCAATGCAAGAAACATCGCTTCGCTTTATTTCTCTAAATCAAACATGCTTTGTCTCTGAGCCCCACGTCCCCGAGTGGTGAGGCAATGAGACTTTTTTAGCTGATCCTCTGCCCAGGAGCTTCCAAGCATCTCAAGAAACTAGAACGTCCAGAAAACTTGAGGAAGACCTGCGAGCTTCGGTCCATCACGGTCATGCCTGAGATGTTCGTACAGGGGTCGTTGCCCAGGCTGATTCAATCAGTGATTCAAAGGCAGGAAGGCCCTGTTCCTAGCTTCAGTGAGTCCCAAGGCTGGGCAGTGAGCCATCAGTTTCTGCAGCAGCTACATACCCTCCAAGAGACCGCCTGCTCTGGGCCGCCTGGCAGTGGGATGCAGGGCCCTGCCACTCTCCAAACCTGCTACCACTGTCAGCTTAGATCTGGCCAAATTTGCACCCTCAGGGAGTCTCCTCCCCAGGCTATCCCCCGTCCCTGGCCTTAGCCTCCAGAACAAAAGCCTGGATAGGACGTAGAGTTCCAGGAGCTTGTAAGAGTACTTTTTTAGTCTTTTTAAAAAAGGAAGTATGCAATAAAAATGATCCTACCGAAACAGTATTGTACTGAGCCATTCTTTCTGGTTACTTTTTATATAGCCTATGTGCTATTTTAATGCAGTTCATGAAGCTCAGTGAAAATTAATATTTAACTCGTTTCCATTGAAACTTGAGAGACCATTGACCTGGGCCCAGATAGCTGCAGAGGAGAAAGATGATTATAATGTTAAGTGACAGAATATTTCAACATATATGACTGAGTTCATACACACAGAGAGATGTTGAAGACTTCAAAATAATCACCCTTATTTTAGTGATTCTGCACATTTCCCTGGGTGTATGTAATTATTTATTATTTTGCTAATTGCGAAAGTAATATATGCCAAAAGAAGAAAATTTGGAAAATGCAAAAAAATACAAAGTAAATAAAAATTCTAAAACATGTTTAGAAGGAACCACTGTAAACATTTTGGTGTATGTCTTTTTGCTCTTTTTCTTACATATTTTTTAACTTTTATTTTTTATCATAAAATACAAGTGTATATTTTTAAAGTCAAATAGAATGTTATAAATTTAATGATGAATAAAAGCCCTAATCTTTTTCATCTAATGCCCAGCATTATAGGTAATCCCTTTTTAACTTCAACTATTTCTTCTAGTATTTACTGCATATATCTCAAGAGCGTGTTTTTTCTATTTCTTGATTTTCAACCACAGACATTTTCTATTTATTTCCACCAAGGAAGATGGATATTTAGTTCCCTCTCAATGCCCCCACCCTTGGTGTCCCATTTGCAAACATGCACAAACACTCACAGATAACTACAATATGAGAGTGCAATTTGGTTGTTTCCATTCTTAAGCTTTTTGGTTTTTTTTTTATTAATAGTTGCCTTGTTTTTCTGGTTGCTTAATTTTCCGTGTACTTAATTGTGTATTAATTCATTACCCACAGTCTCAGCTGGAGTTGCCTGGCTCCCTTCATTAGGGTAGACAGTCCAAGCCATCTCTAAGTCTGGCTTTCCCCATGAGGTCCACACTCCTGGACCCTTCACCCTCTTGCCACAATCTGGACTGGCTTCTCTTTAACTTGCAGCATGGTTGTCAATGTTGGGCAACACTTCTCCCTTCGTCTTGGTGATTTCCTTCACTTCTCTCCCGTGTTAGAACCCTGTTTCCTGGATCCCACACCTTCTTTCTTCTTTGCTCCTTTTAAATGGAATGTGTCTTTCAGAGGCTTCCTGATAAAAGGTGCACAGTGGTAAGGTTTCTTGCCCTTGAGCATTTGAGAATGTCTTTTTTCCCCTCCCCTCACACTTGACTGGATATAAAATTCTAGGTTGAACATCATTGTTCTTAAATTTTAAAATTTCCTCTTTTTTTTTTCTGAGGAAGATTTGCCTTCAGCTAACATCTGTGCCAATCTTCCTCTATTTTGTATGTGGCTCACCACCACAGCATAGCTGCTGATGAGTGGTATAGGTCTGCACCCAGGAACCAAACCTGGGCAGCTGAAGCAGCGCACACCAATCTTAACCAAAAGGCCAAGGGGCCAGCCTCTCAAATTTCTTCCTTATCCCTGGTGTTCTGAAACTCACAATGACGTGCAGTGGTGTGGATTTTACCCCACACGGTTATGCTGAGCTCTTGGTGGTCGTTCCTTTCTATCTGGAAACCTGTGTCCTTCAGTTCTGCAAATTTATTTTATATTTCCTTTTCTTCTGTAATTCCTTTTAAGAATTCCTATTAATTGGATGTTTGATCTCTTCATTCTCTAATTTTCTCATCTTTTCTCTCCTATTTTTCGTCTCTGTCTTTTATTCTATTTCTGGGAATATTTCTCAAATTTATCTCAACTCTTCTAGTAAATGTTTCATTACTGTGGTCATATTTTTAAATCTCAAGCCCTCCTTTTTTTCTCTGATAATTTCTTTATTATAGCATCCTTGCTCCCTCCATGGATATGATATTTTTTCTTATTTCTCTGAGATATTCATTATACTTTATACTTTATTTTATTTTGCCTTTATTTCCTCTGAGTTCCTCTTCTCTAAGTGTGTATTTTGACCTGCTTCCACATTAGTGGCAATCTTTGCTGACTGTATATATTTAAGAGTTAAGCACTAAGAAGATAAGTGGAAAGTCTGTGATCCTGGACTGCGTCTCACCACCAGCATTTGGGCAAGACCAGCCATTTCACCGTGGGCCTCAAATATTAATACACATAGCCCTTTTCTCCTGGTTCAGACATTTATCTAAGAGAGGAGTCTTACCAGGTCCTGCCTGGGCAGTAATTTAGTCGGCCAGAAATCAAGGGGCTCAGTAGGGGCAGGTTGAGAGCTAGGGAACTGGCTTACTGCTCCAGACTTTCACTGAATCCCCTGTTTCCATTATGGCATTGCACCCCTGCCTCTAACTATGCCTTGAGTTCCAGTCCAGAGTCTCTCTGGCTCATCCTCCCAAAAGAATCCTCCCATTTTCTTCTTCTGGGATTGGGAAAGGGCAGCGATCTGGGTTCCTGGCCTGGGGGAGTAGATCTGAGAGTTTAACAGCTGTACATATGGACTTCCAGCCAGGCTTCCTGTTCATAGCACGGCCATGCAGTCCTGCTGCCAGAGCTGCCTAGTCTCTTGCAGGTTCTAGGACAAGAACCAGCTTGCTTCTTCTTGATTTCCCCGTCTGCAGTCACGTAAGGTGTCAGCTCTCTTCGTTATACCAAGTTACTTACCTCTCACCCACTCCCTTCCTGTATTATAGATTTTTGACATTTCTCATCTACTGTTATCTCATCTCCTTTTCCTTTGCTCTTGCTGGTTTATGCCTTTTCAAACTTGTTTTGTTGATATTTTAATGGTATTTGGGAAGGGAGCAGAGATAAACCTATGTGCCCACTCCACCTCTTTTAATGAGGGCCTATATCACATTCTTCAGAATATCTTAAAACCTGGCAAATCTTTTTCTTTTAAGGATGATTTTAGCTTGGGAGGATAGTCAAAAGTCTGCGAGATCATTGGTCAAATTCTCTTTCCTAGGCCTGAAGCCCCCAATACACCATGATTAATTATTTGTTTTCTATCATGGGAAACAAATAGGAAGAATAAATGATGACTATTGTCCATTGTAATCCAACAAAATAATCTGGGATGTATAAACACCTTTCCCGAAAGATGAGATGCATATATGGTATCAAATAAAACAAGCAGTACATACAAAATTTCTAGGGAAAAAAAATCTCTGCCCCCAAATCATGCTTATTTGCTATTTTATTTTTAAATAACTAGCTCACTAAACCTACCCAAATGATATAATAGGATTATGACTGGATGTTATCACTGCCCATAACTTCTGCTCCAAGAGAAATAACTAAGGATTAAAACAACTCTTCCCTTTGACATGGTCACACGGTCTCATGCGGTCAGTTTGCTTCTGAAGGGCAGGCAAATATTTCCTTATTCCACCCAAACAAAGTATAAGGCCATAACTATTCAGATGGATGAAAAGAAATCTCATTGGTAGAAGGCTGAAACTAGCATGGGTAACAACTAGATGCTCTTTCGCACTGACTTGGGAAGAATATGAAGAGAACGAAGATGACTTAACTGCTTCCTCTCTGGGTTCTGACAATCTGTCTCACTACTTATTATTAAAGAATCAAAATTGGGCATAGCTTCATAAAAGGAGTTATTCTTGATTTTTGAAGAAATTACAAGAATCAAGTGTTCACTTAGAGCCAAACTAGTGAGTAATCTAAGAGGCCCATGGAAAGAGACCACTATAGGTGAAAACCAGGGTGACTGTGAAATGATGACATTTGCGTAGCTCAGAATCTGTCTTCAGAAGCAGATGCAGAAACACAAATCCTTTTGAGTTCTGCCGGCATGGATTATTAAAATGTGCACAGCCTCTTGAGATGACTATTTTTAAACATAGCACGTAGTTGAATATATGTGTTTGGGTAGAGTAGAGGAGGAAAAAGCTTTTTGTTTTTGAAAAATATTCCAGTAATGTAATTAAACAAAAAGTCACAAAAAGTTATTATCAACCTCATCAGTTCATTTGGTCCCCTGTAATTAGTTCCTATTCTGTTTGATCTTGGGTTGGCAGTTTCAAACGTTTTCACAGAAGAATCAGAGTGAAACAATACCTATCTGTAGTTGACAAAAGACTCAAAATGGCGAGGAAGTAAGCAATTGTGAACTGTCTGCCACATACTAATATTGTGTAGTAGATTAGCAAATTTATGAATACACCATTTCACAATTTCTAGACACATATGCCATTTCATAGTACAATTTCTTAGTGTGGCAAGAAGAACATGTTATTAATATGCCCAAATTTCTCTAGTTTCTCTGTAATGAGAAGCCAAAAATAGATAAACTTAAACCTGTGCTAAGTGATTAATGTTTCAGTATTTTCTCTTATTTGGAAATGATGTAGATATTCAATGAAGATTTCTCTTTTAAAGTTAAGATTAGAAAAAGATTTTGGAAATGATTTTTAAGACATTTTTTAAAACATAATCATTTTTGCAAAGTTCATTTATAAACTTTTATCCCACTTCACCTCAACTTAATTCATGTGCTCTTAACAAGTATGTTTGAATTGCTCATGGAAATTTCATGAGATATTAAGAACTAACCATCATTCTAAGTTATTTTTCTCATTGAAATAAGGTAAGCATCAAAAATCACAGAGGCAAAGAAACTAAAAAGTATAATATATGGGGTTTTTTTCTGCCATGTTGGCATACACTAAGGAATTTGTTTTAATTATAAGTTTTGTTCTTAGGTTGATTTTACAATTTTATAGTCTTAAACATCTAGTAGAGGTAACCTAAACTTGTTTGATTAGTCTTAACTTATATGAGTATTTATTGTTTCTTCTTTAAGCCACTTAAATAGAGGTCTTTTACAGGTTACTTCTTAGCAATACGATCCGGAGGTGGAGAAACACCACATATACATAACATACATACATACACATACATAAACATACAGACACAAACAGAGAGCTTACAGCTTAAAATTGAGCCACGTGTGAGGTACAACAATACAAAACTCAGGAGCTTATAGAAGAATTCTTGGATCAAATGGTGTTTCTGTTAGATGGAGCAAGTTAAGTTCACCCACTCAGATGGCTAAAGCTTTTTTTTCTTTTTTAAGCTTAAATACCAATTTCAACATGATTTATTATGCTTTTATGACTGTTGCCTGGATTCAGTTGGCGATATTTTGCTTAGAACTTTTTGTATCTTTTGTTTTTTTCCTTTTTCTCCCCAAAGCCCCCCGGTACATAGTTGCATATTCTTAGTTGTAGGTCCTTCTAGTTGTGGCATGTGGGACACCGTCTCGGTGTGGCCTGATAAGCGGTACCATGTCCACGCCCAGGATTTGAACCGACAAAACCCTGGGCCGCCTGCAGTGGAGTGCGCGAACCTAACAACTCAGCCACGGGGCTGGCCCCTAAAGCTTTTTACTAATATTTGTGGAGAAGGCTTTTGAGATTTTATTTGTCTTTAATAGGTAATCCTGTGGAGGCTGTGGACCAAATTTTAGGCAAAGGAGTCTATGGAAATATCAAGTGGTAGTTCGTTTTTTCAAAAACTCTTTCTTTTTCATCCTAGTTTCAGCGGTAGCTTTAACCAACAATTGTCTCTTTGGATGACTACAGTTCAAAGACATGGTAAGATTAGTGCTTCCAAGCGACTGAGATAAAATGTAGGTTTTATCTAAGAAGGAACTCAGGGGCATATTTGCCTATTATCAGGAATCTAGGGTCATTACCAGTTAAGTTTTTGTTTTCTTTAAGGGTAGGAGTGTAATGAATTGTTTTCTTGCAGTGGAGGCCCAAACTGTGGGAAGGCCTGGAACTGGCGGGTCTGCTTTCAAAGTTAGGACAGTATATCAAGGCTTCCTGGGCGTTTCCTGGGCCTTTGGCGGAGCTTTTCCTGGCTATCAGTATTTACGTATGACTCACACCTGCTTGAATGCCATCTGCAGGTCTCGGCATTTGTTTTAAGTCTTATCTCCTAATCTTGATAAAGGTGTGTTTTCATTTATTTTTTTCTTACACTAGACAAGGCATTTTTGTGTATCTCTTTCTCTTTTTTCTTTCTTTTTTTCAATCTGATCTTCCCATAGGTACCAATAGGACATTTGCTTAGAATGAGAGCTCTCTAAAAAATCTTTGTAGATGAAAAAGTCAAAATCTTGAAAAGTATACTTATTTCACCTGTAACTCTATTCCAATAAGCCTTTTTATGGCTTAAAACCAATAAGCATTTTATGACTTAACCAGGGACACAAGAGGTGTCCCCAAAGAGGGGGCGGAAGATATAGCCCCT